GCACACTAGCATCTCATGGATTAAGATTTTGCACATAAATACAATGTCATCGCATCAGCGAATAATAGAATGATTAGTGTTACTTGGGTGTTACCTTGAAGTGAGTATAAGACCTTCTACACAATTTTTAGAAAGTACAACAAACTTTAAGGACAATTAAAGAAAATTGTGATTGAATATTTTCTCTACTATTCAAGAATTGCATTTTAATATATTCATGTTAACTCTTTTTTTTTCTTGTAGTAAACAACCGGTCTAATTTTGTACCATTAAAAAGAATGGTCAACACTTTTCGTTTTTCGTAAAGGGACATACCGTTTAAAAAACAACTCTATTTCAAATAAAAAGTTCTAATACACTTAACATTACAAGATGCTTGAATTTTTACTGACAACATATTTGTTACGTTATGAAGGCTTATTTTGGAGGGAGGGCATTGGGCTCCCGGTAACATGTTTAACCCCGCCACATTCTGCATGTGCCTGTCCAAGGTCATGAGCCTGTTATTTATTAGTTGTGGTTTGTTTCTGTATACTAAATTGTTTTACATTTTTTCTTGTCGTTTCCTTTTATAATTTGCTATGTGGTATATGGGTTAAATCCGCCGTTTTGCTCATCGTTGAAGGCCATTATTGCGAACATCACTTGGTCTGTTGTGGAGCAACCAAACCACATCCCCTTATTTTAAAGTGTTTTATAGACGGTTGTTTGTATTTTCAATTATTGGCTTTTTGTTTGTTTTTATGACTTCTTCAGCCTTTTCTGAAAAACGTAGGATTATAAAAAATTGGACAATTCAAAAGAATAAAAAAAAACCTACAGCATATTACACGAAAAACAAAAATGAGAGACAGAACCTACGTCTAGGTTTAGTTTAGTTTAAACATATTTTATTTGCAAAAGTAGCAAAAGGGATTGGACATAAGTTATAGCAACATTAATGACGTTTTTTCCCTATACAAATGACGTTTTCTCCCTATACAAATGACGTTTTCTCCCTATACAAATGACGTTTTCTCCCTATACAAATAAAAACTCAAAATACATTAGATAATGACGAAAAACAGTAGGAAGGCATGTAATACAAACTATCAACAAAAACATAATAAATACGTCTAGGTCTACGATGGAACTGTTTTGTTGCGGCTAATCGTTTGAGTCTGTGATAAGAGGTTTAATCTTTTTAGAATATTAAGTTATCCTTAATGCCTTTGAAATCGCTTCACCAATTATAAAATATCTGTTTTCTAAATAAAGTTCAAATGGCCCTTTTGGTTTTTATACTAACAAAAACACCGACTACATCATTAATGTTCGCGACGTCAAACTGCGACATATCGGGAAAAGATGCATTTTTCGACTTATTTTTATCATTCAGACTGATATAACTTGAAAACGAGTTCATGGACCCCTCTTTCTTAAAATGACATTAGGATTGATTACGTATGAAGATTATTTGTACCAATTTTTATGAAAAAGTCACCAATGAGATTTTTTAAAATTAGATAAGTATACAGCAAAAAATTCCGTTTTTTTCCTAAAATCCTGAAACTTTGATAAAAATTAATTATTTCCAAAGAATTGTTATAAAAATTTAGAGCATACTTATGTAAAAGAGATTTTCCAAATGTTTTTACAAAAATCCTATTGTGTTTATCTTTTGAAACAAAAAAGTTAGGTATGTCTATCCAAAGGATAGAAATGTTCCAAAAAACGAAATTTTGAGTAAATGTCTAAAATTTCGACCCCATTTATCTCTTAAAGTAGCACATGAAGGTATATTTTTTATTACATATTTGCATTGACTAGGTGAAAAATAGCTTGTATGCAAATTTTCGTAAAAAAATCACCGTGGAATCAAAACTGTTACGTATGCCCTTAATTGACGTCCAATGATCACCCCCAAACTCCCGCCGAAGTCTAAACACCCGATCATTTAATTGACGTCCAATGATCACCCACAAACTCCAGCTAAAGTCTAAACACTCGATCATTTAATTGACGTCCAATGATCACCCACAAACTCCCGCTAAAGTCTAAATACTCGATCATTAAATTGACGTCCAATGATCACCCACAAACTCCCGCCAAAGTAACTATGTACTGAAAAAAAAACTTGATTCAATCCCAATATTAAAAAAGTAACATGCTAGAAATCTGTCAATGGTTTGAAGGCGTATCCTCTGCGGGAGTAAAAATTGCAACATGAACATGCATTTTACAGTGTATATTTACCTATATATTAGATATCATTGTAAGTTAGGATAACAGTGGAATGTACACCCACCTCACTTCAGAATAACCTAGTTCAAAATAAATTGGGATAATATGTGCAGTATTGGAAAATAATATAATACTTGAGTACACGTCCTACACAAGTAATGTTGTCTGTAAGTTACCATTGGTGAACTGTTAAAATGTGTTGTTTTATTCCCACACCAAGGACCGTATCTCTTTTCATTCTTCTTAGCATCATCTACTGGATTTTTGGATCATGGACTTGTAACATATACGGTAATCACAACTTATTTTAAACGACATCATAGTTAACAATTGTGTATCTTTAGTTTCATTAAGAATTACTTAGATAAGGTCAGCCACATTCTAGCCTTGTCAAACGTTTTTTCGTTATACAATAGGCCCCTTCACGCATACGGTTAGTGCAGCCATGTTGAACAGGGGCAGATTTTCATAATGGAAGTAAAAATGGTTTGAAAAACACGGGAAAACATCAATAAAACAGAACAGTTGCTTGGAAACATGCATAGGATTTCCCGTACTTTCATACTATTTCCACCTCTATCCAAAACATCTACCCTCTATTCAATATGATCGAAATAACCGTGAAGTGGCCTATTAACACATAAACTCTTTTTGTAACGCGAGTGTCACAATGTTTTTTCTACAACATGTAAAATTTATTTATAAATTCGATAGTTTTAAACTGATAATAAATTTTGATTTATTTAGGCAATATTAACGGTACTTTTTTCGGAATTGTTTATTTTTTTCACCACGGAATTTTTTTTTATCTAATTTATCTATATAGTACACGAAGACTGAAACACTAATGCAGTCTTCCCTTTTACATTCCAGATTAAATGGTCGACTTTTCATAGAATTATAAAAGAAGCAGACATAGTAAAGAAGTAAGTAATATAATATATTCTCATTTTTCTTTTTTAAAATAAGATTTGACGGTATTTGACCAAAGCAAGCTTAAACAACCTGATCACTGGGACTAGATAGATGAAGGTTGTAGTGGTCCACTTTGATTTATATGCCACTTTTATTTACCAGGACTTTTATTGGTAAAACTCACAGTTATTTATTAAATCAACATTGAAATATACTATTTATGATTTAATATGTAAACAAAGAAAATTGATTTAGATGGCACCACTTGATATAATTTTATTTATAATAGAGGTATGCTATTATAAACCTAATAAAAACAACAGGCCATACATAAACCATACATCATGTTCATTTATCTTATCAAAATATGCACATACTTTGGAATAAACTTTTTGTTTCCAATATTTTTCAAATCAGATTGATTGATTGATTGGTGTTTAACGCCACTTTCAACACTATTGTGCTATTTCGTGGCGGTCAGTTTTTATAAGTGGAGGAAGCCGGAGAGAACCACTACCCTTCGGTAGGAAAACTGACAATCCTAGTCAATTAAGATTGGAGTCGAGTGCACCTGCCCCGTGCGGGATTCGATGGAGTCGAGTGCACCTGCCCCGTGCGGGATCAGAATGTTATCCACCTTTACATGCTATTGTTGAGGACCATTTTGATAGAATATAATTATAATTGCACATTTCAAATTTTGCATTTAGGTTCGCTTGGAACCAAAGTCACTACTTTTGCATTAGTCTGAAATATCCTTCGTAGAATGTTTACTTAATTTTCGTCAACATCTATCTAAGTTGAAACTGCAAGCCGTATATAATTTATGATTTGACTTTTATTTAATAATTCAGAATATGACATAACGTGCGATAATATATAGTATGACGTTTAAATTTAAGATGCAAGGAGCTATAATCACAATCCGACTGATACAAAATGAAATTTAATCGATCCTACCTGATATTAGGATATTAAAATCATTTTTTTTTAATTAAAAGAAAGCTCTTACTTGAATTTATATACAATATTTATCAATTTTGTACTTTTAAATAAAAGTTACATTTTAACTTCCACTGGTTAAATTCACCTTAGTTGGGTTTTCGCGGTCCTGTTTAGATCCTTCAGTTTCTTCCAGAATTTAATCGAGACAAGCGCGTTTCCAAAATAATACAAATTGTACAAATTTTCATCTGCGAATGCTGCATCCAAAACAACAAACTTAGCCTTGATTTACTTTCACTTCTTAATTTTGTGAACTTGCATCATGTTACAAAGAACAACAACAAAAAAACCACCCCCATTTGAAAAAAAACCACAGAAAACGCAGCACGTAATTTGCAGTATATCCAGTTATAACTGAAGATATATTTCACTACAATAGCCTTTCTGTGAAGAGGACAAAAGCGTCATGTCATGATTATATATGTTCAGAAGTAGCTAATTATATCAAAATAAAAACATGTTGGCAAGGGAAATGTCAGAGCGACAAATACAATAGCTTAGATTTATCTACAAGGTAAAAGTTGGCAATATATATATATATAGGGCTAATAATGTAGACCTATAGAAAACATTTATTATTTTAAACAGAAAAAACTTATTAAAAAGGGAACGTTCTTGCAAAAACATCATATACATAGAAGTATACACCGATTCATTTGTATACACAAACAATGACTGATCAGATGACTTATGACTTCAAAATAAAGTATTGAAAAACATGCAGAAATTGTATTTATTCCACATCTCCTTATTTTTATAGAAATTGTATTTTTTTTTGTTTGGTAATCTGATTTTTTCTCAAATGCCTCGTAAACCTGTTTATTATAATAAAAAGGTACTATTTACATTTATTTCAGGTAAACTTTAAAAAAAAATGGAAAAGATAGAAACTCTAAATGCACCATTAATCAGGGGAGGCGATAAGCCGATATATCATGAAAGAGGAAGGACGCCAAAGATAATCTACTCCTCACTGAATGACACTCCGACATTGTCACCTTCTACATCATTCTCATCGCTCGACTCCGGGTTTATACATGGCGGATGTTCAACACCACCGAATGTTCAAGAATATTTCACTACAAATGGAATGGAGGAAAGTATCACGCATGCTAACACTCAAGTGAATCAAGTAATTCCAGAAACTTCTACACCGGTACTTACGAGAGCATCCATTTTAAGGACATCAAGTCAGCGTATGCATTCTTGGAGTTCGTCTCAAAAACAGTCTTTGGACAGAAAAGATTCAGTACGTTTCAAACTAAGTCTTCCACAAGAGTCACATGACAGCTCATTTGCTGATTCTGATTCTGACAGCAATATTGGATTTTATACGATAAATACTAAAGATCCGAAGGAAAAAGTTAAACGTAAGCGAAAGGTAAAAGAAACCACTGAAGGTTCCGATTGGCAACCCGTTGTGCAAAAATTAAAAGACAATAAAGAATCCGTTCGGCAAAAAATTAAACCAGGCTACGTGTCTCAGTTAAAAAAGATGTTTTCATCACAGGATGATTCACTTACTAAGGATATTGATACAAGTTCAAAGAAAAGTTCGCTCAAAAGACATAATAGTGCCAATGACGTTTCCAACAGATATTTGTCTGTGGCTAAAACTACTGTAACACCTTCACAGAGGACTAACTCATTAACTAACATTAACAATAGAGCGGACGTTTCTTCGTTACGTAAGTCTTATGACGAACATGGTGAGCCGTACATCCTACGTTCTAAATCAACAGAGAATCTAGCTGTTAAACCACAACCTGAAAAGGCCATATTTAACACAGCAGACAAATACGTCTCAGGTTTTGAGGTAAATTCTGATGAATTCCATCAAAGGCCATCTGACGATATCATAAGAGAAGGGCAATATCATCAGACACACAAAGATAAAGTGAACAATAGTAACAGTAGAAATAAAGGTGACCGAAAACCAGTACACAGGAAAAGAGTCCACTCAAATGGAGAATTTTCGGGAAAATCACACAATGTCAACAATACATGCAATCAAAGTATATCAAGCCCGGGAAGTTTGCGGACAAATTCTGTTGGCTCTGGAGAAAATACTTATAGTTTGCAGCGTTCGGTGAGCATGCACATACCAAACAAACATCACCTTGACACAAGGACAAATGAAGCTTTTATTCGAACAGGAAGCATGCGCACAACAGGTGCATTGAGAGATTTCCTTCAAAAACGATATCCCGACGAAGTAGACATTAATAAAGAATTGCATCAATCCGTAACGGTTCAAAGTTGTAAAGATAGAAATAATACAGAGGTCAACGATTTTGTTATGCAACCTGATTTCAAAGAAAAAAACGACTGGGAGAAAAGAACTCAAAATAAAATTGACAAACACAAGAACGAATCATCTGAAAAACTGTATTCACCTCGATCAAATCAAAATGAAAAGTCGATATATAGCCCTAGATTAGAAGACATAAACAGACAAACTGAAAATAGGGAATTACTTATTAGAAGTGTTCTTCATACAGAGGTAAACACAGAATATAAGAGAAACAATGACAATCTGACAAAAGTAACATTAAAGCCAAATGATAAAGCTCCTATACATAGGAATCAAATATTACAACGTAGCGTTAGTGAACGAATAGCAAACGCAATAACTGAAGGTAAAGATAACATTGAACAAAAACCAGTTGAATCTAAAAATAGAAGTTACGTGACAGATGACCACTTGGATCGGTCGCAAACTAAGGGTTTTGATAATGGACCCAGATTTCATAGAGCTGGGAGCAACCGAATAGCTAATAGTCCGAAACAAATCACACAATCAGTTAATGATAACTTCCAAAGATTTAGCAGCGAAAGAGTAAGAATTTCGTCAAAGCCAATAGAAAAATCAAGTTCACCTTTCAACAGAACAAATCCTAACAAATCGGCAACATCAGCTGATGCGTTAAAAAGTTTTTTACGTAAACGATACCCTTCACGAGAGGACGTATCAAATCATCCAAACATTGAACAATTCTCTGATAAGTCCGACGATAATAAAGAGGAAAGTGAAATCGATCGTCTTATCTTTAAATTTGGAATAGGTAACCAGTCAGAACGAAACTGGGATAAAATAACGAATTCTAAAATTGACGATTATGAAGACAAATTTTCGGAATTGTCGTCTTCCTCGCGTCAAATGGAACCTAGGCTGATCCAATGCCCTACTCTAATCCTAGAAACCCAACCGGTATATGGAAATAATGAAAACTTTCAAGAACGAGGAATAGATATACCGACGCCTATACCAGAAACCCCGTCTGATAGTACTCTTTATAAACATGAAAACTCTCTAGAACATAACATAGATATACCATTTCAACTATTTGGTAAATCACCTGAAAGTGCAAGTTATCAACAAAAAGATGCAGAAAGAGATCTAGCGGATACAGTAGATTCTTGTTATTTTTCTGATAACACTTTACCAGATTTGTCATCTCCACCAGTATCTTTTCGTCAAGAAGATTTCCCTTCACAAACGACAACTCTACTTGGTAAAGACATTTCTTCTGGACAACCTGTTTCATATTATCAACAAATATCAGAGCTGGAAAAACGATCACCAAACACGAAACATAAACCTATCAGTGAAGGAAAACCGACGCCTTTTCAAGAGAGACATGAAACCGAAAATGTCAGTAGTTATTTGAATGTTACACTGAAATCACCAAGCGTAAATGTTAATTATCCACACAATCAAAATACATATGCAATTGATGGGCCTGCACAAGCTAAAGGTATTATCTGCAGTGAATTAGGCTCAATGAAAATCAGTGCGCCTAATGGCGATGCAGCTAATACTCAGTATGTTACCAGCGTCGACATTTCGCCTTCGGATACGTGCATTAACATTGAAACCAATAACGACACTTACGACTTAGATGATATTTCCGGAAGATATACCCCGGATTTGTTACAATATTCTACAACTGCACAAGAAACTGCAAACAGTTATGAAACAAAAACGTCATATTTAAAAGTTGAATTAAGCTCTCCAAAGTATACAGAACAGGTATCATCCCTGTCTGAAAATAATACAGTGGAAATAATAAATGATCATGACAATAATAAAATTGTGGAAAATATAAATTTTGAAGAAAACACAGAACTACAGGTTGCAGATACTACGGTTGAAATGTCGGTATCACCTTTTAGACCTGTTGAAAAATGCGAAACAAATGGATTGCAGCTTATGGATTACCTTAAAGAACCATCGGTCTTGAGTAATCATACCAAAGATTTCGCTGTTGAGGAAAATGTCATACAAATTGAAGAACGTGTTTCATCTCACATTTTGTATCACGAACAAGATCAGAAAGTAATAAATGATTTACAATTGACTATGGGAACTGCTGAAGAATTTACTGAAAAAAGTGAGGAATCTACTGAACATTATAGAATAGTTGAACCTGATATTCCTTCATCAAAGTATCTTTTTTTGAATGATAATCTAAATACAACCGAAAATGAAATTGGTGATGTCTTACATATTGACCAGAATAGAAAGGACACATGTACCGATGTTATAAATATAATTCCGAAAAAGACTCCTCCAAAGAAACCACCAAGAAAGAAGAAATCCAACCCACATTTTGAAACGCTACCTCATGAATTCAAAGAATCCATTATAGAAACCTATGTCACTCCGTCGCCAATCAGCACTGGTTTAAAAGAGCCTGATTTTAGTTTTGATACTCCCGAAAAAAGTATTTCTACTCATGATATCGAACATAAAGCTACATGTCTTGCTGAACATGATAATGACAATTCAAAACAATTCCGATCTACGTCTGAAATTAACACTAAATGTTATAGTTATGTTTCGTCTCATTCAATTAACGGTAATGTGGAGTTGAAAAGTGAAATAAACATTGAGACATCTAAAACAGGTTTATCACCATCTCCTTGTTTAGAAGGATTGGATCGAAGAAAAGCTAGCAATGCAGATGTGAATGAAGCAACCTTAATCGATATAGATAACGTCTCTTCTGTGAATGGGGAGACCACTGAAAAAAATGTTGTTAATACCACTGAACTCCAAGATAGCGTCATGGCAGACCTTTTACAAAGAAATTGTGGGTATGATAATAGACAGTATCGAAATCACGGTACTATGCTGGAAAATAAAGCAGAAAGCGACATTAAACATGTTTATCGTACGGAAAGCGATGTTATACAGTTTACAAATTCTTACCAACCATCTAGTACTAATTATTCGAATGAAAATAGAAATGTTGATTTGACAAACACATACAATGATAATAATACTGATATAGTTAGTTTGTCGAGCGATACTTCGCCCATTAATCCTGATATTGCTAGATCACCTATCGATACACCACCAATGGATGAAGTTTTAAGAAATACGGAACAACAATTGTGTCAAACGTATCTAGATTTAATGGATACCTGGTTAGCAAAACGAACAAGGAACCGAAAGACAGATGACAACAATGATTCAAACAATGTAAAATCTGAAATAAATCAGGAAATTTTACTTAAAGGTTCTGACCAATCCGAATCGTCAGATAGTTCTGACCAATCCGAATCGTCAGATAGTTCTGAGCAAGACGATAGTTCTGTGGAAGGGGAATATATAGTAGATACAGCGATTGCTGATGAAAATGAAGTTTTAAAGGCTGGTCTGGAAGACCAGAATTTTGAAGAAAACTCTAGAGGTGAGATTACTCACTACGATGAAAATGGCGAAGTTATTTTTGGTGAAATAGATGAAATGAATGAAAGAGAAAGTAATTGTGATACAAATGAGGTGGAAATGCTTCAAATAAGAAGCGATGAACATCAGTACGAAACACAATCAGATGATCCAGGAACACACGAAAATAAAAACACTGAAAATACAGAGGATTTACGATCTGCCCTGAAACTGAATCTTGACTTTTTACAAGAGGCGGAAGATGAAGAAGAAATAGATGAAGACTGTCAAACATCTTTGCTTGAAGCTACAAATAAAGTGGATAAATTACCTCTTACAAACAATAAAGTAAATAAACATACACAAGATTACAATAATACGGAGTACAAAAGTAAGCGATCAGTTACATTTGATGTTAATACAACAGAAGAAAGTGAAGTCATTCACGCGTGTCCTACCGCAGGCTGTGATCATGTGACAGATAATTTTACAGGTAAAACTTTTACACCTTTAAATCCTCATCTAGATTATAAGGACCGTAAATTCTCGACAACTGTGGACGTACATACAACAGATTTGGATACTAAAACAATCGGTGGTGCATCTAACGATTCCAAAATAGCAATCATACAGGAATTAAGGACTGGTGCTACAATGCCAGAGAAATCGTCGGGAAATACTAACACCTCCCAAATGTCTGAATATAAAGGGGGTAAAAAGATAACGACGAAGACAACAAGTTCTGTTAATAGTGGTGGTTATAACGATGAAGAGCAGACAACACAAAAACGAAACCTTGCACTCTTGACTGATGCCATATCTAAACTAAATGGAGAAAATAATGACGATATTATACCTGAAATTAACCAGACGATCACCAAATTAAATGGAGGGAACCTAGTGATTACTACTCTTACACACCGGGTTGTAGAGGAGGAGGAGGATGGGGACAAATCAGATACGGCATCACTTCCAGTAGTTTCGGAGCCGAGTAATAGAAATAAATATATAGTTCAAGATCATAAAGGAGATACATATATGATAGAGGATATTACTGATGAAAGCTACGAGTACAGCACGTCTGATCATAGATACAGCTCGGAATATGAAAGTGCAAGCCCTAGAAGTGGCAGTCCGTCATATCAGAGAATTCATAATCTCAGAGCTCATGGAAATTCTGGCGTTGATTATAATACCGCCGAGGAAGTCATACTTAGTTTGTATAATCCGAATTCAATGGAATATACCGAAACTGACGAACGATTTCAGTCGGGACAATACACGAACGAAAGATTACGGCAAGGTCAAGGTCAGTTGCAGCCTTATGGATACAGTGACAGCTCTTCTAATAAACGGACCACATCGTATGAGTACGAAGATGGTGGTGCTCCAAACCAGAATCCGTATGGTTCATCGTCCCTTAAAACTGTTAAACAGTCTTACGAAATGTCTTCCGACGGGCCATGGGTAACAGATGGTAAATCTAGTTACGTTGGCTCCCAAGATGTGAACATGAAGAAGGAAGTGACAAATCAATCATCTTCGTACGACCAGAGTGGACTTAATGCTATGTCAGCAGCTTACATGGTGGAGGCTAATTCGTCCGTCCCTCCAATACCTCAGTTTAATCCTTATTATGTGCAACAGCCATTAATGTTGCCACCACTTCAGGTTCCTCAATACAACCTTCTCCAGCTAGAACCTATTCCCCAAAAGGTAACTACTGGTGTACAGGTGATGACACAACCTAAAGAGGAACATCAAATCGTTAATTATAAAGAGGAACATCATAGCGTTAAACCTAAAGAGGAACACACAATCGTGGCTAAGATTGATGAAACTGACTCGAGACAGTTTCAAGAACGACCCGTGTATAAATCTGTAGCTCTAGTCAAAGGCCCTTACGAGTCGCCAAAATGGCATACAGCAAAGAAACATCGTCCATATGAGCCACCGACAGACGAAGTTGACAGCGGACGAAAGTATAAAGTTGTCAAATCGAGTGCGTCTGAGGATGTCAAGGAAGAAACGATGGAATATGAAGAGACAACAAAAACTATAACAACAATGAAAACCGACAACGTCCAAGTCACTGGTGGACAATTTCTAGACCAGAATCGAAATATAAGCTCTATAGATGTGGGACATAATCGCCCGATTGCTTTTAATGGAAATGCTGAATTTATGGAACCGAGATATACGACAGAGAGAACTTTAAATGTAGGACGACCTGCTACCGAGGGTCAGGGTCGTCAATTTCGATCAACAGTCGAGGTCAATAGTGGTAGTAGTGGTAGACAGAAATCTTACGACCAAATGGATGGGTACCAATCGAAATTATCTAGTATACTAAACCACCAGCAACATTACCAAGGAACTCCGGAACCAGAAAGGAAAACATACACTGATGTTGACCGAGACATGCGAGTCGTCAGGGGAAACATACTGATTAAGAACAATTTCGATGAGAATCTTGATGAGTACAATGATAACATTAATATGTTTGACAATAAGTTTAACATGAGTAAGACCAATCCTCTATACCATAGTGATGAGGATATTTATAAGAGATATGAGGAGGAAAAGAGGATACAACAGGAGAAAGATATCAGAGACATGGAGAATATGGCTTTTGAAACTGTTGACAGATTTTCTAAATCCAAAAATGGTAAGTGTCACATATTTGATTGATTAAGTTTACAATTTGAAAAAAGAAGACTCTGAGCTCCTGTACACCTCTTGTATGTTGATGTTCGGATGTTTAGTTTTTGGTATACCAGGTTTTTGAAATGTTTGATATTCTATCAAAATCTGTTGTAAGGTAGATCAATACGACCATTAAACAATTAAACGGGTGCCACTAGCGGACGAGAACCAAGTTTTGAGTGGGGTTCATGCTTTAGGTTTCTGTTTTGAATTTTGTAGACTGTGTCTCATCATTTTTTTAGTAGAGTATGACGTTTACTTTGAAGTATATGTGTACTTGAAACTTTTTATCAAAATTAGTATACTTAACGCTTAAACCTGTAGACCTGTAGAATTGTTTTAAATGCAATATGTCGTGTAGAAAAAGGAGTGCCCCTATATGCATCTTTGATACATTGATTTATTTTTATTTTTTCCTTTTTGTGGGAATTGGGGATGAAATAAGCTAAAATTGCCAAAACATTTCTTTTTTCACTAATACTTATAATTATTTTGCTCACCCTAAAGTGTTGCTAAGCAAAAATTATAAAACTATTGTCATACATTATAATCTTGTTTAAATGAAGTTATTGAAGCAATTCCTGAGAATGACAAATGTTGAATATTAATAGAAGTAATATTAAAGATTACTGTAGATATTGACAATATAAGTTCACATAAGTACACATAATCTTCCTTTTGATACTAACGCGAACATCAACCCTAATTCCATTCAGAAAATATAATTGAATGCTAAGATTGTTATCTAAATTTCATTTAAATTAATGTGCTCTATCAATCTTCCTTACTTTAAAGTGTACAACTGTCATAAAATATGTACATTGTAATACATGTATATTTATTTTATTTGAGCGTAAAAGTTTGTCAAGTATGTCGGTACTTTATCAATGAATTAAATGTATAATGATGGGCGTGTGTTCGCAACAATGGAATTATATTGATGATATCTATATGTGCACTACCTGTTGCTTCAGAGAAAATTCCAATTACTTTATTAGTTGAACCATGGTTTTTACTTTATAATCGAAACGTCTTAGGTCAAATTTTTCTTTAAAAGTTACATCAATTTCAAAATAAAAAAGGTAGTCAGAGTTATTTCTAGACACAAATAAACTTTAATTTGGTGAACGCTCTATTTCGAATACTAGTAAGTTACTAAACTTCAGTGGATGTGTTAAGAAAGATCTGTACATAACAGATACAATCTGGATTACCATGAAGTACCCTGGGGGTCATGTGTCTTTGTCAATTGACGGTTACATAAGTTAAGATGAGTTTATAGATACGACTACAATGGCTAGCCACTTCGAAAAGAACTGATGAAAACTTCTATCCCTTTTGTAAGTGTGATATCCCCGTTGTGTAGTAATGTCGATTAATTATGTATATGTCATGTAGTGTAAAACAATTAAAATTTGAAAAAAAAATTAAACGACAGGAATCCCCCTCCCCCTATCTTTTTTTTTTAAATAGACAAATAAAGTTAAATTCAAATATCACTTATATCGAGCAGACGTATTGGCCCGAAAATTCGAAATTGGATGAATTCACGATCGGTTGGTTTGGACAAAACAATAACACATCAGTGCCGATGGTCTTATTACTGGAAATGTTTTGTTCTCAACCTCTGACTGAAATTGGCCGACGTTTAGGCTTGAGTAATGTTTTGAATTAGATTAAATGTCAGTTGTGGTTAAAACAAACGGATGTCTTCGTCTGCAACATTAAACTTTACCAATCTAATGTAATATTCACTGTAGTTTATGTGTTTAAATGTGCAGTTTTAAATGTAAACACCCTATAAGTTATGTAACCAAACCCACTGTATCCAAATTTTTATAAATACAAACGTTGTACACCAGAATTTGTATGTTTTATGTGGTATACATGAATATGCTCCTAAAATATGTGAAATATTTATAAAATATTATTTTGTTTTGTTTATATTTCCAAACCTTTTGGATGATAGTAAAAAAAATTGATTTAGTTCATAATTATTTGCGTTTATAAAGAAAACCTCTTGTTTTATCGAGAAACTAATGGACCTGTGGGTCACTATTTTGACAGATTTCAATTATATTCGATTGTTTACATATCTTCATCGTCTGATTATGCACGAACTATTTGCCACTGAACGTTAAGCAACCAACAATCAATCCATTAAAAAGCTAGGAAAAACATAAAGAATGTATGCATGATAACATCCAAAATGGCTACATCTGGCTTCCTTAAAAATCAAATATACAAATATCGGAAAATATATTTACACCGAATCTGTTTTTCGTGATCTCTAACTCTATATATCAATTTCTGTTTGAAAAACAAAAAGAAACTGACAATCAGAAATTTTACTATTATAACGAACATTAAATTTACTTGTGTCCATTCCATTTAATTACAGATTACTATGATTCAATAAAAGTTTGTAACTGAACCTGAGCGATAAAAGCATCTCATAATAATAATAATAATAATAATAATAATAATAATAATAATAATAATTCTTTATTTAAAGAGGGTTACACAGTTAGCTATAACACTAATCTTCCCTGAAGCCCTCATGAAATGCATTGAAATATAACAAACAAACAATTGCAAAATAATAAAACAAACACACACATAAGGAATATCAAATAAGAAATTGTTATGAAATATACAATTTTCAAAACAGGTAAAAAATGATGAATTCATATAGTATTGGCATCATTCAAATTACCTGAACAATATTTAAAGTTTAGTAAGCGTGTGAAAATTAGTATGCATATAAAGTTACACAGCTTCTTAATGTTCCAACAAGTAATTTTTTAAATCTTTTTTGAATGAGCTTGTACTTGAGGTTGATTTTTTCAGGGATATTGGTAAGTTATTCCATAAAATAGATCCTGAATATATAAAAGATTTCTTATACAGCTCTGTTTTGGCTTTTGGAACTTGCAATTTTTTGCAAGACGTATTCCTCAAACAATATTGGTTTATTTCTGGCATTTCTTAAAAATTTTCAGTTAAATATACAGGGGCTTCATTCTTAATGCATTTGTGCATCAAAACAGATTTATGGTATGAGATTCTGAATCAATATTTAGAAATTTCTTGATCTTAGAGAGTAAATGCATACGCGATCATATCACGTCTCCTTATTTTTGTTAGGCCTAAAGTACGAGAAAAATTGGAATCTTAATCCAAGTAATTTTTTTTTTTTTACTAAGACTTTTTTTTAATCCATTTTGTCCTATGATAACTATTTGAGTTTGACGTGGTTGAGAATTATATAGTAAAAATACAGGTCATTTTAGGGGGATAGGGGGAGAAAGATATTGTCAGTCTTAATGTACTAAGGTTTTTGTCTAGTTGAAATTTCTACAAATTAATGTTTTATTTTTCAATTTCGCTGCCTATTGATTATTATAATTAAGTAGAAACACCTGTAAATTAAAACAGTTTGTAACTTATACAACAACTATGTAAAAACAGTTCAAAAGGTTACTTTTACAAATTGTATGCTTGTGTAAACCTTTTAATATGTAATTCTTTTCATGTTAGTTAATGAACAATAATCTATACAAAGTTATAATAAATGATCGATTTCACTCGTTCTGTTGTAGAGATTGTTAAGATAAAACACATGTATTGTCAACACCTTAATATACATTAAATCCTACATGTATTTTATAAAGTGACACCCCACCCTGCAGATATGACATTTTTTATTGGAGTTACGATGATAAATTGTTTTTAATATGAGTGTACTCTCTAGTTTACAAGGGTAAGGCGTCGGAATGAACTGGGAAAATAATATTCTAATTATGAAATGCTCATCTTTACAAATTAGCTATGGTATAAACTGTCCAATGAACAGATTTGTTTTCTTACGTAAAACTAAAAAAGTCAAACTGAAAAAATGTCACACTATCTACGTCTTCTTTCAATAAACAAATAAAAAAGATAAAACCACGTGGTTCTTAACATTAAAACTCTCTTTCTGGTTAATTCGAAATTCCTAGGCTATAGTTCGAATACCATATTTACCAAAGGGAGTTCACGTGTACGGAATGAAATGGTCCAATATATTTTATATGGGAAACTAATACAACACTCGTATTGATGGAGGAGGGTTATTCTGACATTTCACAGAAAAAAAGGTGATAACTGTTTTTGAAACATGCATTTTCCAGTATGATTACGGAAAATCAACTATGGGTCATTAAAACACTGGTACTTTATGAGATCATAATCAATAGATCCATTTTGTTTTTTCCTGCCTTATTAATGCGCATGTTTAAAAATATTTTTTTTACCTGCTTACCATTTACTTTCTCGTCTTTTCTCCACTAACAAGTATACGTAATTTATAACAATGGCAGAACCAAGCGAGGATTCCTGGCACTAATGTTTGGCAGACTTGTACGTATAGCTTATTATGAAGTATGATTTTTGCTCATTGATGAAGGCCGTACGGTGACCTATAGTTTTTAAATTCTTCGTCATTTGATTTCCGGTGGAGAGTTGTCTCACTGGCGATCATACTACATCTTCGTTTTTTTTATATTTATATCCCTTTAAAATTTTAAATTACTGCTGACAGTTTAACTATGACTTTTTTACTGCCTAGAACTTTTAAAACTTTATCCATATGTTCATGATTCTCCTCTGGTTTATTGTCTCTAGTCAAAACATACGATTTGAAATATTAAGGAAAGAAAAGAAGAAAGGAAGAAATAAATAGACCGGGCAATTATAATCATGGTATAAGTTGACTTCTGTTAAAAAATCTTCCATCTGCATCCATATTTCTACTTTTGTACTTGAAAAACTTGAGATATTTGATGTATGTCGTTGTATGCCCCATGGCCAGTTGTGTATCATCTTAAAGTCATATTGTATTTGATACAGAAGGATTAATATCTGATCTCCCCTCCTTAGCCCCTAGGGATCTAATGTCTTTAATAGACAGTTATTAATGCA